AAGAAACAGAATCCGAAGCAGGCTCCAGGCCCTGAGCTGTCAGCCCAGAGCCTGACGCAGGGCTCGAACCCACAAACTGAGATCATGACCTGAGCCGAAGTCGGACACTTAACTGACTGAGCCACCCAGGCGCCCCCAAAATTACCTGTTTCATCCCTAGCATAGTTATTGTGCTGGCATCTACTTCCTATGAAGTAGGAATATGACTATGAATATAGTGACCCCAGCTTTCTCTTAACTAATATCAGCATGGAGTATCTTTATCCAGCCTTTTACTTTTCACCTACTTAAGTCTTTAAAGTGTGCTTTCTGTAGGCAACATATATCTGGGTCTTGCTTTTTAGTTCGTTCTAACCACATCTATCTTCTCATTGAAATTTTTACTCCATCCACATTTAATGTATTTATTTATATACCAGTTTCAAACTTACCATTGTACTGTCTTCTATTTGCCCTGGCTGGTTTTTTCCCCTCTTTAGACTCTATTCCTACCTTTTGTGGGTTGAGTATTGCTTCTGATTCCATCCTATCTCCTCTGTTGGCTTATCAATTCTTACTCCTTGTTTTTTCGTTCTAGGGGTTGCTTTAAGGACCACAATTTACATCTTTAAGTTATCACAGCCTGCTTTGGAGAGATACCATACTACTTCACATATAACATAAGAACTCTGCAATAGGATATACTTCTTTTTCTGCAATCCCAATGTTTATGCTATTGTTTTTATATGTTTTACAGTCATATGTTTAATACACTCCGTAACACATTGTTATTACTTTTGTTTAAACAGTCGTTTATCTTTCAAAGAATACGTAACAAATAAAAAAGGAAATCTCATCAACTTGCCCCTGTAGTTACCCTTTCTGGTCCTCCCCATTCCTTCTTATAGATACAGATTTCTACCTGGTACCGTTTTCATCTGCCTGAAGGACTTAGCCTTTAACATTTGTTGTCCTATGTGCTTTCTGGCAATTAATTCTTTCCACTTTCATATGTCTGGAAACATCTTGATTTTGCTTTCATTTCTCATAGGTATTTTCACCAGGTATAGAATTCTGGTTTACCCTCCAGCAGGACAGTGGTGCTATTCCATTGACTTCTTGTCTATGCTGTTTCCAAAGAGAAGTCTGCTGTCGTCTGTATCTGTGTTTTCTGTGTACAAACTTGCTTTTTCCCGGGGCGCCTGGGTGGCGCAGTCGGTTAGGCGTCCGACT